ATTGATTTATCTCACTGAGCAGACCACAACTTCAAAGTTATCTATGCGCAAATAAATGTCAGCCTTAAGAATACAAAGTAGTATCTCGGCACATCCTTGCTGGAGCAGGTTCCTCCCATGGTGAGTTTTATAGCCCACAAAATACTAGTAGCCTGGCTTTATCAAGCATTTACTCATTTGTTCTAGTTTTTATATTTTTTTTTTTTTTTTGGTATTTTGTATTTGCCAACACTCTGTGCCTCTCCCTCCTGGGTTTCGGGTCACTCATCAAGACACCTGGTCACTTAGTTTTGTTAATTGAGAAACAGCTTATGAAAATAAAGACAAGATAAATGTTGTTGCAGTAAAATATGGTTTTTCTCTACATTTCTTTTTCCTTGGATGAGAGGTCAAAATAAAATTGCAAACTCCTTGCTGATGCATCCATAACATCCTCTCTTGAGAATTTTGAACAAAAGACAGAAGACTTGTTACTGCAATTCTATGATACGTTCCTGCCCTGCTTATCCACTGCTAAAAGGCATTTTACCAGTGATATGATGGCAAATTTTCATTCATCACAGAAATTTAACACAAGTCATGTTTACAACAATGAATTTGCTGCTCAGGTATTAAATGCCATGTCACTATGCTTAGATTTAGATATAAATCCCTGCCCACCATTTGCATGAATAATTAGCAAGCTTTTTTTCTTTAAAAAATTCTTTTAAAACATCTGTTCTTAAAATCCACCAATGCCTTTTTATTCTCTTTCCTCTGCATTTACTCAAGTCCCAATTTTGTGACTTGTTCATTCAAACTGACACGATTTGTAACAAAACCTTCATCATACAAGACAGCCAGAAACAGAGCTGTCTTTAACAATGAATCACAATTCTAAACTTTATGATTCGCCCAAATATCTATTCTGCCAAGGAAGACCAATGTAATTAAAAAGCTAAAAAATGGAAAGGTAAATAATAAAGCTGTGATATAAAGCAAGGCATGTATACACTCTAGTTACTCATAGACTCTTAAGATCAGACACCTCACCAGCCATTTTAATGATGTCTAACTTCTAGTTTTTCCTTCAGCTTTAATTGTCTTTCTAACTACAAACAGTGCAGGCTATTTTGTTGAAAATATACTGCTAATAATGCGTAGTCAGATGTGCCTTTTCCGTGGTGTACGTTCCTATTCTACTTTATTTAACACATTTGCTGACACGTTAGGTGTTACAGTGTGCGTAGGCAAGCAGATCAGAAATTGGAAACACTAACAGCATTGGCAACACCGGAAAAGAGGGACTGAGAACTGTTCTCACATATAAGAATGCAATTATTTGCTCTACTGAGTCTCAACACAAAGCAAAAGGACAATCCACAGGAAACTAAAGGGCTGAGATTACTTCCATAAGATTATTTTTTCACTTTGTCATGAAAAGTAAATTACCACAAATGAATGAATGTGTGATTTCTGCGTTTGTGAGCGTCAGAAATGTGAGAGATAACACCTTTTCAATTGAAAAAGATGTGCTGCTATGTCTGCATTTTCACAGTATGGTAAATATTTGTACAGAAATCACCAACGGTTAAATGGTCTGTTGAAGATATCTTTAGTCCAGTATCACGTTATAAATGCAGTATCAGAATGTTATACCAAATGGATTTCAAATTTCAGTGTTTAGCATTTCCTGATTTGGGGGCGATTAAAAGGACTTGCACAGTCTTTTCTGTATCTATATCCCAAAATAATCTTTAAATCAATGATTTATATACAGAACTTTTAATAACACATTGTCATGCAAAGTTTTCTACAGCCTGTAGGAACTTTGTTTATGACAAGCCAAGTATGCAGGAGGAAGACAAGAATTAGCAGAAAGAAGGGGCAAACCCTCTTCCAGAGTCTTCCTTCAGAAACTGCTGAAATCTTCCTAATTCTGTCCAGGGTAGAGCTCAGTCAGCCAGCTGCTTACTTTCACTCAGCTTCCCTTCAGTGAGGACCTTACAGTAAATTACACGTAATTTACATTAAAACTGTTTCGCAGGGGACCAAACAAAATAAGATGCACCACTGAAAATTCACACACGGGTATTTTCATGTCAGAATTTAAAATTTGAGAGTGAAAAGGGTACTTGCTAGTGCCACATGTAGGGGATAACCTATATAAAACAAATAAAACACACTATCCATGTTCAAAATGCAATTCTGTGACTGAAACTTCAAACAATAATCTCTAGAATTGCTGAATTTTTTTTCTCCAAAGTGAACGTTACTTTTGTGCAAAAATGCAACTTTTACTTCCAAGTCATATCCATTGTAAAGGTGTTCAAGAAAATAGAAAATATTTTACTTTTCTCAATCTAAAGTAAAGCTGTGCTAATTTATTTAGCTCTTACAGAATAGCAGTTCATAATACTGAGCACAAAAGTAAAAGATATATTAAATGCATTGTATTCAATGTTCAAACTATATTATAATTATATTATAATATAAAGTTATATTCAAATGCTTCTCAGGTATTAAAACACTGAGACGTGATACATAATATACCTGTGTTTGAAACTTATGTTTTATGTTAATTCATAGAATTTATATTAATGGAAAAAATACTGGGCCAAAAAAGACTCTCTTCAATGCCTGTAACTTTCACCACTGCAACAGGCTAGACAATACTTAGATTCATATTTAGATACCTGGATTGAGGCACAAATAATCTTCTGCCTAAAGCATGACAGTTATCCAACTTAAATAACTTTTTCCATGAGTTCTACAACAAAATTTATATGATGGATAGACTTAATAAAAAGCAAGAGCAAACAAAAAATCTCCCCTTTTTAAGAGCTGAGCTCAGAAACATTTGCAGAATTCTACCTAAACCACCCACTTCTTCAAGCTTAGCTGCTCCCGGGGTTCTTAATTAATGATTGCTCATCCTACCAGTTGACTATGTTACACTAGAGAGCTACTTCCATTATATCTGCTTGTCGGAACAAGGCTACTGCTTGAATATATGGTCCTTTGCAAGATGAAACTCTGTGTAGTACCAGAGGGAAATTCTGCCAATCTGTTGTACCAGATTTGAAAACCGTATGCCCAGGAACTCCAAAGTGAGGTATCACACTCTGCGTGTGTGTGTACCGCACGTGATCGAAATTACAGCTTAAAAAAAGGAATGTCTCACAACGTACAAGAATAATAAGAAACCTTTTGCATGCAGTACAGTTAGCTATCTTTCTTTAGTGACTGACTTTGAGGCAAAGTCAAGAGATTTGGGTACGACCGTGCAAGTACAGAAGACAACATTTTATACTGTCTGAGCTCCTACCATCAAAGACACAAATCTTATTTTCTCGGTGTGTAATCTGAATGTATCCTCCAGAGCTGCTAGAAATAGAAAGCATTAGTGATAGACCTTCGAAAGAATTACCACAGCCAGAAGCCTTTTGTATTAGGAGGCAATACCTACAGGTTTCATTTTGAGGTAAGCCCTAAATTGATCTCCTGTAACACTTTATGAGTCGTTGGTAGGAGTTACCAGCTTAATATTTACTCTATGACTTTTTAAAGTATACCATAACCTCCTCTACCACTGCAAGGAAGTTAATGACCAGAATGTTTCACTTTTACAGTTAACAGCGTCCTTGCTCAGGAATTCCACATTCTGCTGAGCCAATGTTGTTTTAATGTATAGAAGCTTGCACTCAGAAAAGGTGAAAGAAAAAAAAACCTTGGAATTCAGGGTTGACCAGTAGTTCAAAGCAATCCAATTACTGTAACACAGTAAGTAGGAACTGCAATTATTTTCATACTGAATTTATTTATTGCACCTAAAAAACTGTCTCCTGACTATGTTAACTCCTGACAGTTAACAGTTCTGTTTAATCCACAAAGCTCTCTGTGAAGGCAGGTGACAGTAAAGCTGGACTGGGATGCTAAAATGATTTGTTATCAAATGGAAATGGTGGAAAAATGTCTGAAGGACTGAGTTCGAAGGGTCAATGGTTTTAAAGTCCAGCCAACAACCGGTTAAACACACTGCAGCTCAGTGGTTAATTCCAGGGCCAATTCTGTTTGGTTAGCATCTTTAACAACCTGTACAGAGAGCATCCTCAGCAACTGGGGACACCACCAGTTTGAGAGGAGCAGTCACTACCTACCTGGAGCATAGGGCTGACAGCCAGAGGACCTTGACAGCCCGGAGAAAGGCATGCAGAAGAGAGAGCCAGATTGCTCTGAGACACATATAGTGAAAGGGTAAGGGGCCACAGACACAACTTGCAGCAAGGGAAATCTCAGCTTAGACATTAGGAAAAAACCAAAGCAGTGCTAGGCTGGAGTTGTTGGATCTCCATCCTGAGAGATGCTCCAAACGTGTTGGGACACGGCCCTGAGCAAACTCCTCTACTATGGGTGGGAGCTCACTTTGAAACTGGCCCTGGTCTAGGTTGGACCAAGGGACCTCCAGAGTCTCCTTCCAACTCAAAATTATTATACAGTTCTATGATTCTAAATTTTCAAACAAACATAGGCAGCTAAAGTCTTTGTTTTCGGTCTAATGGATATACCCATAAACACGTCTTCACATCCTCACCACATGAAAAATGTCACATTTTGACAGGTGAATTTACACCTTTTTCACAAAAAGAAGCATGTAAGGTCAGCCATCGCTTTCGTCTTTTTTTTTTTTTTTTTAGAAACCCCATATTTTCCACAAACACCTCTCCAAACTTGCTTCAGGTAAGGATGGTGAAATAAACTGAACAAACAATACCATAAAATTAGTCACTAATGTGGTATCTGTACTTAAAAATAAATTAATACTGACATTTTTATGAATAAAAAAATTGCCAGATACCTGTTGGTATGCACCCTACCCTACCAGAATTCAGTATTTTCTTTGATCATGCACATAAAGATAGATAAGATTAATGTTAGGTTAAAATGACTAAAATTTTAGGCATTTCCCACACCAGTGCAGCTAAGATTTCTGCAGAATAACATACAAAAAAGGCTCTAACCTCTTGCTTGTAGCCCAGGTCCACACGTCTCATGTGCTCCGGGGCTGTCCTGGCGCACGTACCACGGGACGAGCTGGCACCTGCGCCACTTGTGGGTCTTCCACCTGAAAGAGGGGGCAAGTCATCAGCTCCAGACAATCCTTCTAGACTTGCAGCAATCAAAACAGAGGCAACACAAGTGCGAGATACTATTAGAAACCACCATAAGCTATTGTTTATTATTATTAACTGGTGAGAACTAATTCACAACGAACAGTAACGATCCCATAAACTTTTTCCTCTTTCCTGTGAACGTTTTTTCTCCTTTTAGGATTAGGCCATTGAGAACAGAGGGAAGGAAGGAGGTGGCAGAGAAAGGAACAGAAAGCAAACCATATATTTTCAAGGACACAGGTACATTAACACTACCTAACAAATACATTAACACAAAGCATTAACACACTTATACGATACGTGAGAAAGAAATTTAAAAAAAAATACTATACAAAGTAATAAAATGATTGTTGAACACCCATTTAAGAGAAGACCTCCTTTTATTTATATCTGAGCATGCCCAGGCTATTTTCCAGTCAACAAAATGACATAATAAAATTTAAAAAGTGGACTTACAGAAGTGACACTAACATCTCATAAAAACAGAGTACATGAACACTACCTAACAAATACATTAACACAAAGCATTAACACACTTATACGATACGTGAGAAAGAAATTTAAAAAAAAATACTATACAAAGTAATAAAATGATTGTTGAACACCCATTTAAGAGAAGACCTCCTTTGCTGTGGATTTATATCTGAGCATGCCCAAGGTATTTTCCAGTCAACAAAATGACATAATAAATATTTATATCTGAGCATGCCCAGGCTATTTTCCAGTCAACAAAATGACATAATAAAATTTAAAAAGTGGACTTACAGAAGTGACACTAACATCTCATAAAAACAGGGCAGACCTATTAAATAAGGATGAGGTTTAAATATTAGCACACCCTCTCTTTCTCACTTTCAACAAGGTTTTTTGAGGCAGTACAAGTTGAAAAATCTCGTTGGAGCTGTCTCTGACGTAGACTACCTGTAGCTATAGCAGACAGGAGAAGCTTCACATTCTTTTTCCTCAAACAAGGAGTCCGGGCATTCCCGGCCCCCGTTGGCGGGGAGCTGGATGATGACTCGATGACGGGACTGTTTCTTCACTGTGACACCTCCTGCAAAGAGAAGAAGAGCTTGTTTCTCCTACCACTACATAGGGATGAAAGTAATGAGGGGAAAAATAAGATTTAACATAACAGGTATTAGATTTTGCTATAATTTGCTATAATAATGACATGTTATTTTGTCCGTAAGCAGGAAATTAAGCCTAATAGATAAAATACTTTAATCTCAGCTAAAGGCCAGGAAGCAGAACTAAACAGAAAGGGACAGTAGCAATACTGTGCAAATGAACATACAGCTGAAGTGAACACACAGTTCAAGTGAAAAAAAAAATTAAACCAGCTCAGTCTGCTGCTACACTTCACAGTTTCAAAGTGTAAATTGGCCCTAATCATCTGCAAGCAAAACCAGAAATAGAAATTAATGGGAAGAATTTATTTTATTTCACATTTTTTCCATTCTGTAAATGACTCAATCAGCAAATGTGCTTGCCTTTTGCTTATCTCCACAGCCAGGAATATAACAAAATTTAATTTACAGTCATGTTTCTCTCCAGGCCAGGCTTTAATTCTGCTCGCCATACCCTCATTTCCCACATGGGACTAGCATTACCCTATCTAGATACAGAACAAATATTTCCTAGAGAGTATGCCTCACATTTAAATGTGAAGCTTTATTTCCCATTCTGGAATTAATTTACAGTTTACAGTTTTTAATTATTACAGTCATTCATTATTAATGATAAACAGTAAGTAGTTCCTGTAGGAATTTTGATTCCAGTCATCTTCAGATATCAGTTGTTCAGGCAGAAAATGAAAAGCCACAAATCTATATTAATTCCATAGCAATACCTAATACACAAATATTGTTAGGTAAAAATCCTGGGTGTTGGGGGTTTTTTGGTTGGTTTTTTTTGTTTAGTTGGTTTTTTTGCTGGTTGCTTTTTTTTTTTCCTCTTTTTTTTTTTTTTTTTTATTTTCCAGAGGGCTGTAGCACTCCCATTTGGCTGACTGGGTTGGGATCTGGTTTTTTTGCTTGTTTCTTTTTTTTTTCCCTTTTTTTTTTTTTTTTTCTATTTTCCAGAGAGCTGTAGCACTGCCATTTGGCTGACTGGGTTGGTATCAGCTTTGGGTGGGTTATTACAGCAGCTGCAGCTTGTCTGAACCCAGAAGCCTGCTGGAGCCCGGCCAAACAATTGTAATTAGGAGCAAGCAGTCGGAGAATCCCGGCGGTGGCTCTCCACCACCTGGCTGCTTTTCAAGGCAAAGGAAACCCTCCGCTCCCCGAGTCCATCAGCTCCAGGAGATGCCAGGAGCTGGCACAAGGGGCAAGACAGACGGGCAGCCCAGCAAAGCTGCTGACCAGTTTGCTGACACAAATGGGTAAAACCCATGAAATAAAAACCGGTTGTCTAGTATAAATAGAGTTTGACTCCCTGAATAGACAAAAGGCCTGTGTTGGTTCACAAATATAGTGCTGTTTAACAGCATACGTGCTAGTATGACATCAATATTTGTAAAAATATGTTGATTGCATCAAAACCTTTCTTAAAACCCAGCAGAAGAACCAAAGAGGACGGCAATTTTGCACAAGGCGATCTGCCCCACCAAAAATATTTCAGAAAGAACCATTACTGTTACTGTAAAATAACACAGCATTTAATAATGTATAACTATTTCATAGATTCAGGTTCAACGGTCTTATTTCACTGTTCTTTTTCTAAGAGGTTGTAAATTTAATCTTCCTAACCCCTCTTTCATTTGTTAGAATGCACTAAGTACTAATGGGAATTACGGCAAAAAATGACTTTCTGCTTGTGTTCTTTATAAAGCATGAAGAATTGGCCATGACATTCAAAGTGCATGTATTTGATGTAACAATATCTTACATTCTGATAATAGGGTAGCTGTGAGTAATCACCACGTCCTACACAGGGATTAGCACCCCATGGAACTCGGGCTGTTACAGACTCTGTCTGTAATAGTAACATATTATAAAAATACCTCCTGTTAAGCTTAAAAGAGGAAAAGAGATAACGTAAAAAAATGTGTGCAATATTAACCCAGTCGTCACTTTATGTACGATTTCAATGTAATAAAAATTCAAGCGACACCTGCACTGTTTTTAAGAACTTTGCCAATAAGTGGTATTGCAATGTATATTTAAGTCAGGCCATTAATACAAACTTAAACTCTGCTGATTTGCATTAACTTTTCTTCTGTTTTCATTGAGGTAGAATAAACCAGCACAGGCAAAAATAAAGAATTTTGCAATAATTATGTACCTATGCACATCTCTTTTTTTTTTCCCTTCAAACACAATTTCTGCCATTGTACAAGTGTGTGTCTGCTTGGTGACTAGTTCTTTGTATCAGTGGAAGATGCAGAAGGGAGTTTATAACATAAAAGCAGGCAAAATGGAAAAAAAAACCAAACAGATGTTTATAGAAAATGTATAGAAAAAAACAATCATATTCAGAAAAAACACTACGTCCTTCTTGCAGCTGCTCTGCCAGCTCTTACATGTCCTCTATCAAAAAGAGATGCGTATAAATATTCAGTAAAACTGACTCTGGTCTGACTCCTTTTTGTTTTGTTTTGTTTTTTTCTTAGAAATCTGTCTACTAACACGCAATAGATAAAATTACCTTCTTGGCACGAAGATGGACATGGTGTCCAGTCACTGAATGGAGTCACAATACAGTCCTTCCTACAGGGAAGCAGACAAGGCCTCACCGTTTCTGGTCGGAGACTCTCAGGGCATCTGAAAAAAAAAAAACAACCAACCCCAAAAAAGAAGCGTTATCAAATAAACAATTATTCTGCAGTGAACTGGTGAATCATGAGAGGCACCGAATGCCTGCAGGCACATGAGGGGAGTGCTAGTTGCCCAGAATTCACCAGGATTGAGCTCAGAAATACAAACTGTTAGAATTTAAATACAGCTGGTGGAAGCAAGCCAAAACCAGTGCATACTAAACCTGGGCATTTAACTTAAAAAAATCACGATTCCTCACTCACCATTCCAGACTCTTTCCAGTGTTATTTTCATGTTTCAAAATAATTTTGAAGAAAAGCCATCTAGCTTACCTTAGCAAAATACATTTTTAGCTTTTCATAAATTTACCAGTAACATAGACTCTGGAAAGAGGCACGTTTACACTAAATAACATCATTAATCCAGGAACAAATAGGTATAAACTGGCCATGATTACGACAGACACCAGAGAAGGGATTGAAACTGCCAGATCAATGAGACTATAAAAGACTGTCAGAAAGGACAAAAAACCTTGCTTGTTTTAGGAACAGGCTTTATCAGCATATAAAAAGGACTGCTGGACGGCCACATATGGGACTCATTAACCCAGGTCATTTTCCCCCATTCTGTGTTCCTATTGTTTCATCAAGGACAAACAACTCTCTACGCTGCAATACTTGTTTTCAGAATGATGCAATAACTCTTGCAGAAGCACTGCAAATCTTTAAAATCATTTCAGAATTACTATTGCCCTGGGTGGACTGCCAGAGGAATATGTAAAGAGGTAAGAAAAACATCACTTCTACACTTTGGAGCTTTTGGCTCATAGCAGGAAAGATGTTACTATTAAGTAGCTTTTCCTCTTGTGGCTGCTGGGCATCTTGGACCAGTGAGATGGCACGAGTGTTATATTTGGATTGGATCAGATGGAGAAGCTTGGCCTGCATCAGGCATCTTTTTTGCGAAGCTGAAGGGAGCACAGGGAAGTCTGACCACAAGCTACCAAGAAAACGTGGTCTCCCTGGTCAGTGGAGAACTATGCCTGTGTTGCTATGGGAGGAAATGCTGGGGGAAAGGAGGAGAAAATTTGAGTTGCAGCTTTACAGGAACACATTCTTCAGCAATAACATTAATTTGCAATTTCTCTTAGTTGTGTCTGCATTTTTCTGTCAACTAACATAAACTTCTCAGGGTCTGATCCATTACTGAGAACTAGCACCAATTTCTTGGTGCCCTCTTATAATGAGATCCCCGCCTTTTCTCTCTTCTTCCTTAAAATATCAACATGAAAGGCCATGAAATATTATAGCTATAGCAACAGAAATCTTCATCACCTCTCCATAAGCTCTCTCTACTTTTTTAAGTCAAATTGTGCCTTGTTGCTATGTGGTTCATACAATCATGGGTGTATTATATATGGTCAGGTACACTTTAAAAACACATCTGCCACAAATCACACACATTGACTACAGTTTCAGAAATTTTCTCTAAAGTTAAAATTCAAAATGCTTCTGAAAAGTATTGAACATTGGCTTACTAATGGCTTTTCTCATAACAGAATTATAAGCATACACAACAGCCTGAATTATACACATTCACCATTTCATTTGAGAACTTCATCTTTCAGGAGCACCGAACATCACAATTCCTCTTCAGATCCTTGGGCAAGGCAATTAGTTCAATTAGAACACCATTTCTATCTTTTATATCGTTTGTATTTAGTATATGTGGCTTAAAGCGAAGTATTGATTTTTTTGCAGTCCTTACTCAAGGTCAAATTTAACAGAAGAGATACAAGCTGAAGTCTGTAACTTGTGAGGTAGATAAGGCCAATAATATTGATTGTATCATACCACAGTAATCCTTTTTATTAAGGGGAGTTTAAAACAAGGTTCCTATTTACATTTTCATGTTAAATGTCTGGCTCTTTATAAACGATTCTGTGATTTTAATGTGAGAATTTGGAGGATCAACCAAGACTTTTTTTCTCATTTCACAGGACTCATTTATGCTACAATAAAAGAGCGTTCCTGCCAAAAATTTAAGATCAAATCAAAGGCAGACACATTAACAGCAGATTTATAAAGGAAGATAAATCATGACATTTTTTTAAAATGTAAAATGAGTACCAAATAAAAGATATAATGGTAGCACAACTGAAAAGAACTGCAACTTAATGCAGATACACAACAATTTAGATTACTGAATGTGCCAGCATTATTCCCCATATTTCCATTTAAAGTAAATTAGGAATAAGTCTATCGCTGAATAAAGCAACAAATGGCAGGCACCATGCAAATATTTAGTGTGAGAATAGCTGCCTCATGAACTTTCTAAATGATCCTGCTATTAGCTCTTCTAGCTCTGAATCTGCCCTCAGTGGGATATTTACAGACTGCCAAACTGCATGAAGATATTATTGAATACATTTTACTAGCAGCTAACCTGTATTTAACCCTGATCATATATTAAATTGCAAAATTAAATCATTGGGCCAAAGCGACCTCTTAAAAAAAAACATGTATATGGGAAAAATGCCTCACAAAGGTTGTCAAACTAATGTTCAAACTAATGCCCTGTCAGAGCTGCACTACTCTTGACCTTCTTGGTCTACATAACACACTACTTGCTTGGAGGTACCACAAGGAACTTGGAAACAGAGCTGCACTGCACACCACACACACGCCTCATCAATTTTATCTCAACTTGACCTGATGATGGCCATGGGACATAAAACATTAGGGATATGGCTTAGTGGTGGTTTTGGCAGTGTTAGGTTGATGGTTGGACTTGAAGACCTTAAAGGTCCCTTTCAGCCTAGATGATTCTATTGCAAGGAACCAACTGGGTTGGTTCCTTGCAAAATCTCCACTGTAAATATCACCCATAATACAAGGAACCAACTGGGTTTGGCAGTCAGCTGTCAGCAAAATCTCCACTGTAAATATCACCCATAAAAATCAATAGTGAGAAAGGTATTTTATAGTTCTTCTGCAGCTTCAGTTTTGTATTTTTAAAAGATTAAATGTTCCCCCATGGGAACACAAAGATGAGAGTCTTTTCCTCTTTGCGTGTAGCCATTGGTGATGTAAATATAGAGCAGTAAAATCCAAAAATATTTACAGCATGAACATATTTTTTAAGATCTTTACTTTTTTGGGCCCACTTGTCCCACGTTGACTCTCACACAGATGACCTTTCTTGTCTGCATCCCCACAGAGCAGGTGGCCTCCCCGTTCCAGCTGGCCGAGGAGTTGAAGGCAGAGACAGAGGTATCCTCTATGCACTGTCCCCAGGGGCCAGTCTGCCAATGATACACAGTGCAAGAGTGTTCGTTACAGCTGCGCGTTTCCTGCAGGGCACTACTATTTGGGCACTGTATTCCTCCTGGAACAATAAAACAGGGCAAGAGTTCATGCAGTGGAAGGAAATAAAGTGCTTTATTTAAAAAAAAAGACACGCCCACCCCCTCCAACAATACTTTGAAATGTTAATAGTTATCAAAGTGCTTTATTTTAAAAAAAGACACACCCACCCCCTCCAACAATACTTTGAAATGTTAATAGTTATTTATTTTCACTTGGATTACACAAAAGAAACCTTGTTCCTTTTTCCTCTTCTTCATATGCCCAATATGGACTTTGACAAACTTCAGTCAACAGACCACACAGAACAGAATGTATGTAGACAGTAAATGTAAATGTGTGAAAAAAAGATGCCAAAATAATCGTTAACTTAGATAACCCACTGCTTTGGTGTGCTTGGAGTAACCTACAGACTTTTTATTTTGGGGTTCTCTACAAGAGACTGAGAGATGACATAAGGAGGCATGATGGCTGTGGGCAGAAGAAACGGTTAAATGTTCTAGTTATGCATGTGTAGAGACCACTGTTTATGTCTAAGTCACGGATCAATTAAAAAGATTTTTGGAGCTCTTGTCCTCACTCCCAGTGGATATTTATCCACACTACGCAATTACCAAAGAGGATGACACAGCTGGCAATTTCAAGTCCAGATTGAGATAACAAAGCCTGTGGCAGGTTAAAGATTAAAATGCATTCATGTGTCAATAATTGTGAAGAAAAGCTCAGACAATACTATCTTTGTTGTGTACGGTTTCAGATAGTATGTTTATTTTCTTATATTCAAGCACTTCAAAGCTAATCTGGGCTCCCAGTCCTCCACGAGTAACGAGGAGGCCTTTCCTACCAGACCTGACCAAAGGCTGCTAGGTGTCCATCCCTGTGAGCAGACAAGTCTGCTCCATCTCTGGTGTTACTAGATTTAAAAAAAAAAAGTAGGTTTAAGAATCAATTTAACCATTCATGGCCTACGCAGGAACAACAAGGACTCCTATCTGCAAGTGATGGAAAGCCAAGGAAAATGGAAATAACGTTTTAGTCTTTCCTAAAAGACAAGAGCAGTAAGAAAGATAACTGAAAGAGGTGCTTTTTATTAGTTGTCACAGATGAGCCATACAACGTTTTTCAACTAAAAAGAAAAATGTACACTCACACCAAGTACATGTCAGAGAATGTATTAATCTTTATATCCCATTGCCGAACTTTAGGTTGACTTCTGGCTCCACAGACATGCAAGAAGGAAGGGGATTCAAGCACTCATTGTTGAGAGAAATTAAACCAACAACTAAATGTAATCAAAGAAACAATGGATACTTCTACTACTCCAACTCAATTCTGTCAAGTATCACAAGTGCGAAAATACTTTATATCCCAAGGTGCTTTTATGGGATGTCTAGATCTGCAGCAAATGCGAGGAAAAAGCCATTCTCATGAAAACACAAGGACAAAATACAAATTCTCAAATTATTTCCATAGATATTTTTAACTTCTGACTTGAGGCTAAAAATATTGATGCAACTAAGCAACAGTAATCATCATATTAACTGAGATATCATGCCAAAGGCTAGTTAATCTTAAATTTTGCAAAGGGGGACTAGAAAAACCTAAAAACATGTGAATGTAATTAAATTACTAGAATTAAATTGTTTTTTGGCTCAGAATGCATGCAAGTCAAGTCTATCAGACTTGCTTAAAATATATGTCAGTATGCAAAGCATCAAGACAAAATATGTCATATGCATTTTCCTAAAAAGAGAAATAAAAAACCAAATGGTAAACCAAAATTATGGCTATGTAATAAATATGTAACAAGTTTCAAAAAGTTATTCAAGCGCATTCCTTCAAGAAATAAAAAAATGTTCCAGCTAACACCAGCAGATAGGAACATAAGGAATGAAATTAGGAATGTGAGTGTATTTTGAAGATGAAAAAAAAATAATCAAAGACAGTAAAGTTACAAATTATTTGGCACGGGAGAGAAGATCAATCCACATGAGCAGTTGAGATGTGTTCCCCCATTATAAGGGTTAAAAAAAGGAGAATTTAGAAGAGATAAGCAAGGTTACTAAAATAATTATTTCCATCTGATGTTAGCTCAAATAAACACATGGGAAATATTTAAGTAAATTCATAAATTAAAGGGGGTGTGTGTGGAAAGCAATGTTATGGAAAGCCATAACCACCAGTTCCTAAGGCATTTGAGAATAAAGTGACAACTTAGATTCAGTTTTGACAGCTATGCGAGAATGTATATTCAGGGAAAAACTGAGAATGACATTGACTTGTAAATGAAAAACACTGGGGCATGAATGTCTGCAGCTCAGTGGGAATCCAGTTCTGTTCAGACTAAACCAGTATTTAAAAAACTATACAAAGAATGAACAAAATGTGGAAATAATATTACTGAAATATCAAACAATTCTCACTAGTACCAAATCTTTGTAATATTAAAAAATACACTATTTTTTTTGTAGTGTGCTATTCTCTCCATTCCCTTGTGCTCCTTCAAATTAAAATAGGTACAGAAAAAGAAGAAGGGGATGGAAAACTGGCAGTTAGAGATGCCCTTTACCACATCTGCACAGGGGTAACAAGATCGGTGCTGCTTAACTTTAAAAGCATTTCACCAAAAGAGGACAGATTTGACAGGAATGTATACATTAATGAATATCACGGAAAAAAATAAAATAGACATTTAATTTTATCCGAATACATGAAAAAGGGACATAGAATACTAAATTCATTTTATATAATACATGATCAGATGGCTGTAAATAACTGCTTGGCAGTACTAAAAACAATAATTTCAAGGCACCAAAATCAGTGGTAGCTGAAGAGTTTCTTTTTGGTTCTGGATACTTAAGCAAAGCACACTTGGCAATGAAAAGCTGGCTTTACAGAGGGACCTGCATATTACTCATAGAATAGCAGCGATATTTTCCTTGAATGCTTTAACAGAATTGTCATATGCTTAGATTACTTTTCTGCCCAGTTTGGAGCTGGTAATGGGTAAGACAACTTGCTCTAAGATATTCAAGGATTGCATTTTATAAGTCTTTTTTATTTTGTGACACCGTCTTGATAACTTCCAAATTTCAAAGTGTTTAGTATTTTTAAAGCTTTTAGGATCACTTCAATTGATCATTTTGATATCACTCGTTTTACAAATGCATGTAATTTTATACATGTATTTCAAAACAGCTGGAATAATCTTAAAGTTTAAGAAAATGGGTGCAACTGAAGTGCCTTTTGCGATCTAGACCAGGTTCCTCAGTAACAAAAGTATGTGGCTTTTTATTCTTGTTTCAGCTGAAATTAGTGAAAACCCATGAAAATCCCCATCTTTCAGATGCTTGCAGATTTAATTACCAAGCAGTATTATTTCAAGCCAGAAAAACTAAAAAATTAAAACTAGGCAAGTATAAGAATTGTGAACACCTTAAAAAGCCCTAAGTATAACTCTTCTTTTGCAACTATGAAGTCAAAGTGCACTGGAATTTTAACAGGAATAAAATTTTAAGGCATATCAACCAAGATTTGCCTAGACTTGAGAAGAAACTCCTTTGATTCAGCTATTCCTTACACGTTCAGTAAATCAATCTTGCAGATATGTGAGAAGTGTGAGCTATTGGCTCCTGTCAAACAGAACACCTGATGAGATGGACAACTGATATTCGCTACTATCTAACTCAGTGATGTTTAATAGTCTGTGATATATGAGGTCACACTAAATAGTCCTTCTGGCTTTATACTTTGCTAATCCATGAACAGCCATAGTAAGACATTTCCATGCATATGCATCCTTGTCCTAAGAGAAAATTTCAAACAAAATCGTCCCTCACTGTAATTTTATTAAATTAAGCTTCTTAATCAGATTATTTTCTTCTTTGCATTTGACTTGTGTGGGATTTTTTTGCAATCTTTACTTTTCCAAAATCAGTATCAACCGCTTACTACTGATAAAACTTGGAATGTATCCACAATATTAGTGTTATGCTGTATGACACTGATTTATATAATCAATGCAGAATCAATCTGCATGTTTACTATTTACTAAAAAAATTAAGACTCATTTAGTACTTTTTAGTTTCAGGTCATGGCCTGTGTAAAGCAGTAAATTGCTAATTATATAAGATTTATTGTAAGCAGGAAATTTAAAAAATAACAGAAATATTAAGCAGGAAATAAAACAAAAATAGACAACCCCTACATTCAATAGAGATAGGCTGAACTGTATATGATCCTTTTACTAGACTTATGCAGAACAACTACATGATGTATCAGGTAACATCATTATGTCCTCTGCTGTCATTTTAAATTTTGACACAATGGCTTTCCTGAGTTTCTTACTGTACCATGAAGATGTATTTGACAGTGACACAAATGAGCTACCACTACAGGCAGGCTCACAAGACAGGCAAATTTATAAATCACCTTTCAAACATTCAAGCTGAGGACAATGATCTCAGAAAAGATATCAAAAATGGTTACGGTGACACCAGTTTCCACATGGAGTCATCTCACAAATCCACGGAAAGTCTTCATCTTGAGGAAAGACACTCCCCTCTCTCCCTCTCTCTCTCCATTGAATGGTAAGTTCAATAGAAAGTAAATAGCAAATAGTAAAAAGTAAGTAAATAAACCCATTCCAGATGTGCATATCCACACTGTGCTGGAGGCTCTGCATGGTTTGACCATGCAGAAGAGCTTCTGTTCTAATGAGGAAATACTGATGAAAGGGCGTACAGCCAAGGTCAGCTCCTGGCTCGAGCAGAAGCCAGCGTGATGCTAGAGGGGCAGTCATATCCCACAGCTCATTAGAAAACTTTGCCACTACTGTAATTTACACATGGCTTCCATTTTTCCTCTGAAGCTATTCTTGTTACTAAGGAATTATTATAATACTACTGAATTATTCCTATTCTAAGTCATCCAAGAAAATCGATTATACTGAGGCTGTTTCCTGGTGGCCAGTTATGCTAACTTGATGGTTTCTTCAAACCAATTCAACAGCATATATAGCTGGGAAGTAAAAAGAAAAATAAGGTCTCAAGTGTAAAATGAAATAGCTCTATCATGGACAGTCATCTGCCAACATTAAAAAGCAAAATGAGAGAATATAGTATTTTTTATTTCGAAGAGGAGAAAAATTGAACAATCACAGCAAATACTTCTATAGGAAGCCATCCGAGATCCAGATAAAAGAACCTATTTCATATGTATTTACAGACCCTCAGCAATTTCAACAGGATGTTCGTGTTTAAGTATCCCGATGAACAAGAATTAAGCATTTCAGATACTTTGAGGGGTTGCAATATGCCTTGTGTATGCAATGCCTGCAACACTTTGATCTTGCCAGGCTTGTAGATGGAATTCTCCATGGCTGGCAGGGGGATACGTGTGATCAAGGACTCACAGTGATAAACCTGGACCCCTTATGCCATCTTAGAAGTCAATTTTAGAGTTATTCATAGACTGGCAACAGCCTTGCACATTCTTTCATTAATTAATGTCCAATCCTGATATCTTAGGAATTGTGTATATTTATGTACAATATAGCTGACCTGTATTCTGAATAAAAACTCTCAAATATCATGGCTATGTTATATAGGAATTACTATGAAATGTTTTACCTAACCTGGTCTGTCTCTTGCACAAACAGTTCAAAGAAAGGTTCAAAAATCCAAAAGGGAACGCCTGTGGGACCAGTCACCTGTGCAGAACTGATAGCTATTTTCAGAACTCAGTTTTAATGTGTAAATGGAATTATTGATCTTACATTTATGAGACTTGGGATTTTTAGTAATATCTGATGTTTACAGAGTCTATCAACAACAATGGGCATTTTTATAAGCTCTGAACAGAACTGGGAACTGCATGTTTCCCCAGAAATGTTCATGAGGAGCTTCCTTTTTATATCAGCAGAATACAGACTTTCAGATACATGAATATATTCTGTGCCCCCAGAACATAAAATGACCTCCCAGCACCAACTACACAATCAGTCTTTCATGTTTTGGGAACACTGCTGATCCCTGTCATGCAATTCTGGAGGTGAAAAGTCACTCCGCTATCTGTCACGCAGCAAATGACTAAAAGGCATAAGAGACATATGAGGAGAAATATGACAATAACCCTAATTTCAGTCAAGCATAAAATATAAAAGCCAAACCAATACATTTTGAATATAACACAAGTAAAGGTGAAAACTACCTTCCAGCTAGAGTTGTAACGACATGCTAAGCCTTGGAAGGGTCTTTCATTTATTTATATACTTTTATTCTCTGGAGTTTGTACAGAGTGCAAAGGAGCGTGGTGTTGCAGATATCTGACCAAGATGTGAGGGAATTGCTATAAGCAAGGTAGACTTACCACCTTGTATGCTTAAAAAAAAAACACAGAATAACCTCATCTCAGAATAGTGATAAAGGGGCCAGGGTTTGAGCAAAGCTGAAGCACTACAACATCTGGGCAATGAGTTGGCTCCCCAGCAGTAATTGAGGGTTCTCTTCACTGCTGTGTGGTTTGAGACCTGTCAGTCTTCGTGATCACTCAGTGCTGCTTCTGATCATGGTGCAACAGACATAAATAAAATTCATACACATAAAATTCAAACTGTGCTTAACTGCTTTGCTCCATCCGCAGCCCTGTAAATTATCCCACGATATGTTTAAGTTCCAGAGTCAGAATAAAATGGGTACTTTTTAAAAAGAAGCATAATAAAGTGGAATCATTTTCTGAAGTAAGTTAGGTTTCCACTTCTGTGTTTGTCAGAATGCTAAATTTCTGTCTCTAGTAAAACTACATATGCATATGGAAAATCTATTATCCTGATCTACATGAAAATACAGATGCACATGAATATATGTTTATTTAAATTATCATCTGAAAGCAAGGCTCTGTGTTTCCCTCAAAATTAGTCTATTTAACACACAATAAAACAGGGACAACATAAACCCAATTTTGTTTCTAATTTGAAGAGCATTTCTAATTTGTTACACAGATCCATCTAATTTATTATTTGAATCACCAACTAAAATGAGTATGCTTTAGCAATGAAATTAACTGTGTTTACAAAGAGAGGAGTGTTTTGGCACCAAGCTGTGTGGTGCGGTGGACAGACTGGAGGAAGGGATGCCATCCAGAGGGACCTGGACAGGTTTGAGAGGTGGACCTGTGTGAACCTTATGAAGTCCAACAAGGCCAAGCACAAGGTCCCACACATTGGTCAGGGGAATCCCAAGCACAAATATAGGTTGGGCAGAGAATGGATTGAGACCAGCCTTGAGGAGATGGACTTGGGGGTGTTGGTTGACAAGATGCTCAACATGAGCCAGAGATGTGTGCTGGCAGCCCAGAAAGCCAACCACATCCTGGGCTCCATCAAAAGTGTGACCAGCAGGGTGAGGGAGGGGATTCTGCCCCTCTACTCTGCTCTAGTGAGACCACACCTGGAGTATTGCGTCCAACTCTGAGGCCCCCCAACATTAGTTACCGATGTGATCTAAGAAGCTAAAAAAGCCATTTGTTAGCACTTCAATCCATTAAAACTCTCATTTTTTCAGCATTCTTTCTTATATCCTTCCAAATTGGACCTAAATTATAGCTAGAATTACCAACAATCCTCTATAAATACCTTTCATAGGGCTCTGCATAAGATAAATCACCTGCCTTGTTTAATTTTAATATAAAAGAGGAAAACCATACATTTGAAATCAAAACGGTAACATTATGCAGAATAAAAAAAGAGCAACATTAACTGAAATAAGCAAAATAAAATCTCTTTAAAACGGCTTGAGGTACATTTGAATATTTGTCCTATATTAAAAAAAAAAAAAAACCACAACTCCGCCTCATAATTTGCTTCTGTTGATCAAGAAATGAGGTTGACATTGCAAAGAGAGTTGAGGATTCACACCCAAAGCAGAGCCACCTTACCTTCACCTGCGTAGGCCAGAATGGAGCGGGCGCGCATCTGCTTCCCTTCTGTGGTTTTGCCGGAGCAGGTGTGGGAGCAGGAGGACCATGAAGACCACGTGCTGAGCACACAGTCCTTGGGGCACGGAGCTTCGCAGACGACCGGGATGGGGTAGATAGCATCTCTGCACAGCTGTCTGTCAACCTCTTCTCCTGGGAAAGAAAAGGCCGGTAGCAGTCTATCATTTGTTAAATTAACTTAAAATGAGCAATCTCGTCCAGATGGGCACACAAAGAAATTAGATTCTGTCCTTCTATATAAACAAGGTAAATAGATTTTTTTATTAAAATGACTTGTCTCCTCTGCCTTGATTCTAGAAGAACATGCTTAAACCTAGTTTAATTTGATATTCTGCTGAAGGGAATGCCAGCCTGGGTGGTCTTTAAGCTTTCATTTTGTTAATACGTATTTGATTCCACAGAAAATCCTATTGTGAATAACAGAGTACATAATACACCTATAGAAAACTGTATACATGGAAATGCATGTACATTAATCACCTAATCTTCATCCATGTTTGTGGGAGAAAGAGAAAAGGGTCCTAACTTCCCTCTCAGCCAGTTTTACAGGCTACAATTCATCCTCTGAATTGCAGCTGTGCATCAAAATATGAAGAGTGTTGCAGAAAGCTGCAGAGTGTCTTGTTTCATTAGGAAGATCTTCATTTGTTAGCCCAGCCAGTAACACATCACTCTTTGTGTCACGGAATCAAAAAAGATCTATGCATTTGTATTCTGTCACATCAGTGTATATATTTCATTATAATAAAAAGATCCAGGCTGGTATAAATTGTTTAATGAAATACTAGCTAGTGTTAAAGTAGCAGGGCTGCTTTTGTTTTCAGTAAGAAAATCACGGGAGCATCGTGTCCATGTCCAGGATTCGTCTAACACCACTCTAATCACAAAGTGGTTAGTTTTGTAAGGTGACATATGATTTCCTGATCAAGTCAGTTACTATCCATTAAGTGAGGATTGAACAAATGACCACATATTCAGAGGTCAATAGGTCTCACCAGCAGTGGCAAAAGCCTCAGGATAAATCTTCACTTTGGAGCAGATGAGGGAAAAGAACCAAGGGGGAGACACGCAACCTCGACTGGACTGAACAGGAGTGTCTGTGGCATTTCACTTGCTATGACCCATCATGTCAACCCTTTTGTTTTAACAGCTAAAGTCAAGAAAACAGCGTTTCATCAAGATTTGCAATGAATGTAAGTCTTCGATACCATAAAGAAATTATTTCTAACATTTGTTAGAAATAATCATTAAATACTCCATAATTTAATGATAAAGACATAGGCCAGCGTTAATAACCACCACTTGGATTCTGAAAGCTAATTTAGTAAGCACTGTGAATGCTATAAATGAAGCCAAAGATCTATAAACGCTGCTTTACTCAAGCCTCAAATTAGTCTTTTATTGCTTAATAGAATAATAATAAAATAAATCAAAACACTAATCTAAACAAAAACTACATTTTTGTCATTCAAGCTTTACAGGGTCTTAAAATCTCTCAAATAAGAATCTCTGATACACTGAGTTCCTGAAAATAGGAGGTTCTTTAGTACTGGTGACATATCATGAGTCCCGGAATTATTAATGACCAAATTCTATATAAAAAGAGGAAAAGATGAGGGCCATCCATCTAATATTATATCCCTTTAACCAGTGTCAAATATTTTATTCATACAGAATCTTTAGGCACAACAGAACTGCAAACATCAATCTTCCTGGGCTCTGCTAACCAGGGGAAGTCCTGCAGCTCATGCTTTTAAAATAGCCTAAAGTAGTCATAATCATCTGCATTATAAAGACCTGTGAGATCAAGTCAGTCTCAATAGCTGTATTTTCCCATATTAAAAACAGAAATTTGAGCCGTGCCAAAAGCTTCACTGATCTCCCACATCAAATTCTGCTTCCCTCGTTGGACTCAAGTCTTTGCATCAATTGCTCCTTCTCTTGCATGGCAGGTCATCACGTCCTGACACCAGTGCAGGAGGGATTCCTGCCCGCTTCACTGGAACGGCACGTATCTGGGTTGAAGGACAAAGTTGAAGGACCAAGGCTGCAAACTTCTTTTCCAAAGAATAGAAAAAAAAAAAGCTAGAAAAAGGGGTGAACCTTACTCTCGCATTGTTCCATAGCCAGTGAAGACTCAATAAGGTAAACTACTAGGATACTTCTGTGCTTTGCAAGAAATACTATTACAATAAAGTAGGTATAGTGTAAACATGCAATACTTGTTTATTGCCTGCCAACCAAAGTGGTGTTAACTTGAAACTCAAGCTAAATTTGGGGTCACAATGAGAAACTGTTAAATTAGTTTCAGTCTGAGTTTATATTTCAAACAAAAAAACCCTTCACTCTCTCCCAAAATCCAAACCCTCTTTTATCTTTTGCTTTTACGGAGAAAATATTCTTGAAATATGTATCTTTCATAATAGCATTTAGTTTTTGTCAACTGTCCAATTCTTATCTGATGATTCAACGGCATAGATATGCAGTTGAAAAGATTCTTTTATAATGGGTACTTCTTACTTCAGGGAGATATTTCATTTCGACTAAATTGTTTCTGACATTTCACTAATGATTTTATGAACAACTTGACCTTTGTTGTCTTCCTCTTTAAAGTGCATAGTGTAGTCAACTACCAGGAACCACTCAACCATGTGCTGGGAACAACGCCAATGTAAAGACTGAAGCTACTTAGAAAAATTCCCATTTGAAAAAGTTTGTCATGTTTAGTCTAATATTTTTTTTTTTAACTTCATATATATACATTTACGTAGCGTAAGAATTGAAGACAGAACTCCACAAATATGAGTCAAAGGTCCCTGCCCTGAATTATTTATACACTAAGCAACAGAATGACAAAAAGTAAAAAACCAGGAAGATAAAATTATAATATTTCCATCAAGAAAACTCTTCACCCTCTATCTGTTGATTTGTTCATTAAAATCTAGAATATAGCAATAATCCCCATTCAGAAACAGCACCTTACATAGCTGAATGATATTTCTCTCTCATGCAACAGACGCACATTTTAAGCTAAATTATCCAAATTGCACTAAAGGGAGTTAACTGCAACTAGAAAAGACAGGAGGCAAAAGAAGTTTTCTTTTTCAAGGACTTGGAACATCAAAAACTCTTTAAACCTTTGCTGGGATTTTTACAGGCTAGTATCATCATTAAAGACCACCGAGGAGATAGTCTTTCAGATCCACATCTTCTCCTTGAACTGTTATAGGTGATCCTGCCAGACAATCAGCAAAGTGAGCCACTACATTAAAACCTCCTCGTGGCTGCCTTCTCGTTGTGAAGAACTTCTAGGACATGTGCACACACCAGGGCCGCTAGTGAACTACTGAACTATGTTATTACTTTAAAACAAATAAATAAACAAAAAAATCCCAAACCATCCAATCAAACAAATAACCCCAACCTACGGAATAGGCATTTTTTACATTTTTACAGATTAAAGGGAGGTAGCTTGTGTAGAGCATGCAGGAGGAACTGGCTAACTGTTCACAAGTATCAGACTGCATTCACATCACCATTTTTGTTTTATCTTATTCACAAAGCAGATATGGTGTCCATGAAAATTTGGTCTAGATGCTAAAGGTTGGGCTAGACTGCAGAAGACCTATGTTCTGTGTTTAATGTAGTTGAATCATGTCACCCCTTTATGTTTTTGCTTACTCATCTGTAAAATGTGTCTGATCCTTAAGTTCCTTGTAAAATGCTTTAAGATCTTTCCAATGGGAAGCATTCCCAGAGCTGGTATCACTAAAGAGACATGGCAAGGAAACCCTCTTGCTTATTGTGCATCTTTTAACACAATGCATGCTTCAGTGCACAGTGAAAAATTGCTGTCAAATTCTGACCTGCAGTAAATGAAAAGGCAAGTGCTTAACGGAGGGCAAAATTTTTTTTAAGCTTTAAATTGAACAGTAAAATCACTGCAAGATTCAATGAGGCATAGAGAACGACTGAAAAAAAATCAACATAAAATAAAAATGCTGCTGGGGTCCTATGGAATCAGGTAATGAAGGTTGTCTCAGTCCTGTACCTGGAAACCAGCTATAGTCTCTGAAAGGCTGAACTGTAACCTGATACAAAGAAAGTAAAAAATTGACAATCAATTCACAATAAATGGGATCGAATGCAGAGAGGGCATTGAATATTAATATTGAATTTTTTTTAAAAAAATGCCTGTGTAATCACTAAAGGACTGGAATATCACAGAGTAGTAAAATAAATCATATGTTTATATTTCAAAGTTCATAAAAGAGAGCAACTAAGCCTAAATGCTAAAACTGCAGATTTCAGACTTTGTACTGCTAAGTTTAATGTATTCCAATTTGCTAGCATATCTGTAATTCTAAGGAAAAAAAAGGCTCAGTTATGCCAATATCTTCTTTTTGTGGCTCCTGGTGGCCACATCTGCTTTTAAATACAACAGACCACAGGAAACGACAATGCATTTTTTAAGCCTGAATATTTAAAATGACAACGTAAAAACACAAAAGGATGGAAAGCACTGACAGCTCAAAGCACTGAGTGATCTGGATGTCCTGATTATACTTACTGGGGTATATACTGTGTTGTATGTATGTGACTCTACGAGCTATAGGCATTGCTTGCTCAGTGATGACACAGAAAGTGTCAGCTGATGACTGGGCACCTGAAATACTTGGTGTATTTCACTTTCTAAAGTGCTCTGTGTTTGTGTGTGAAGAAGGCCTTGTTCTTGTTCAGTTACCTTCAGTAATGTCTCTAAGCATGGAGGCTGCAGAAAAGAACATGCAGCTCATTCACACAATGTTAAAATCTGTGCGCTGTTCAGGTTGCCATTTACCGCTTCCTTCCTTCCCCGTGTAGAAAAACAATCAACAGGAAAGTATTGTGCTGCCTCCTGTATGGGCTGTAAAGGCTGAAATGGCCAACAAGACTGTTCTTTATCTTGAATTCTCATGCAGTTTCCCACACACATTCCTCTCACATGAGGACCTACACTTGTCCTTATGCTGACCCCCTTGTGAGCCTTCAACTGTGTTGAACGACCTTCTCAGATTGGCTCAGGAGCCAAAACTGCTGTGTGAACTCTGCCCATCAAGAGCAAAATATGCCTGTCTATATTCAAAACCCAA